TATAACTATATGCTTCTTTTATTATTTCTTTTTCAATTTCTGCATCAATTTTCCTAGTCATATTCTCGAGGATGAAGTTCTTTTCAAGTTTAGGTTTGTAGTCTTTTATTAATAAAAAAAAAGGTTTGTAACCAATGTTGGTTATCTATGGTTTCCCGATGACCTGGTTCACTTTTTCAAGGGAGAAAGTTGCCTTGCGTACATGTTGGCCTGTTGGCTCATTGGCCTGGATTGTCCTTGCAGAGGCCTTTTTGTTTGTTCATTTTGCAGGTGAAGATTCAATTGCAAAATAATCGATTGGTGGCAGCTCTGTCATGTCCACCAGGTGGCCTTTTGATGAGATTTGATGGAGCACTGCTACGAAATAGGGGAGGCATCATTGGCTTTGTGGTGTTGCTATTGCTAAGTCGAATTTTGGGATGCTGTCGTGGAGGTTATCCTTTTGAGTCCTGCTTCTTCACCGGATCAAGTTGGCGTCGTACTTATCATGAAGTTGTATCCTTTCGATGGTTTGAGTGGTTTTCTTCACTTTTTTCTTAGGAACTAACAGAGCTGCCCATTGCGTGGCAAAAACGGCTCTTTCATCGACAGCTCAATTAGTATTGACTGTCGCTTTTATTTTTCAATCCATTGTAATCAACTATCTATTACTATTCTATCTATGGCAAAAAAAAAAAGAAAAGGTGGAGACCAGGTCCACCACACACTACCCATCTCTTTCATTCCCCCTTCTTCCTCCTGTGAACCCAACCCCCTCGTATCCCCTTCCCCGAACAACTCCGCCGCCCATCAATCAATCATCTTCCCGGACCGGATCCAATCCGTGAGGTGGTCCACAAACCCATTCAAACCTTTCCCTCCGCATCCATCGGCCGCTCCACCTTTTCACCTCCACCGTCGTCACCTCGATCCCGACCCGATCCAGCCGGCTCTTGATCGCCGAAAGCAGCTTGAAATTGTCCTGCGAATTGGTTGCCAGAGCCTTCTTCACCAGCAGCTCTCTGTCCGTCTTTTTCAATTTATGCAAATCGATGGTCTCGGTCCTCCTCAGCACCGCGTACCTGTCCCGCTTCTCCGACGGAAGCCTGGCGATTGCTTCCAGAATCAGCTCGTCTTCGTCGTCCCTCGCCGCCGACGAGGTTTCCGCCCCGCTCCCGGCGAACGAGTCGATTTCCAGCTCGATGAAATAACAAATCTGCGTTGTGGTTAATTGATTGGGGGTATGGCAGTTCAAGGGATCGGGCGGAGTTGTTCGGGGAAGGGATAAGAGGGGGTTGGTTTCACAGGAGGAAGAAGGGGGCTGGTCTCCACCTTTCCCTTTTAGTTTTGTTTATTTTTTTTAAAAATAAATGACGTGGACAAGCCACGTCAGAGTCCAATGCTGAGTCAGCAACGGAGAATATTGTTGACCGTCAAATCTGACAGTCAACCCGTCCCATAGGCCAAATTCGTCCGATAATTTGAAAAGTGGGCCAGAGATGTCTTATTTGAAAACTTGAGCCAGAAATGTCACTAACGCTATACTTTGTGCCAAACGAGGGTATTAACCCTTTTTATTTTCACTAGTTTTCTTAATTGACTCATATCTTTTTCGTTTTAACTCGGATTTTAATTTTTTTTGCACAGATGGAACGAGTTCATCGTGCTCTACAAAATGAGATCAATTTTCAATATTTTTTGAGGAAAAAAAAATTCTGGCCTCTCGGTACCAACTGCATACCATATGGTATTTTCTTCGTTTTTCATTCGTTTTTGAAAACGTTTGCACAGCAGGGACGAGTTCATCATGATCTATTGGATCTACAAATTTCTGGGTGAACAAATTACAAGACCAAAAAATACCACACAATACCATACAATACCACCCTGGTACGAGGTGGTATTTTATGGTATACAATGTTAAAAGTTTAAATGACAATTAATATACTTCTACTATCATGTATTCAATCATCCTACAGTCTTGGTTTGTTCATACCACCATGGTACGCTTTTCAACCCATAGGTATGCTCTTATTTCAATACCAGTCAATACCATATGGTATAGACTGGTAAAAAATGGCTCAATTTTTTTTGTTCGAAAAATATATCAAAGTGGATATCATTTTGAAGAGCACAATTAATCTGATCTAACTGTGCAAAAAAAATTAAATTTCGACTTAAAACGAGTGAGAAATCGTCCGTCAAAGATTAAGGAGGGGAAAATTAAAGGCTTTCCAGGAGAAAGAGGATGCTGATGTCATGCTGATATGGGTGGGTTACTCATAGTTACTCACCATAAGGTTACTGACCTGATCTATTCCCTATTTGCTGGAACAGCTTTGTTACCCTAATTATTCTCCAGCCATGAATTCTTTACCAAAAGACACTTTCTTTTAGGCTAAATTGCAAGTTTGGTCACTAGAATTACTATAAAATTTCACGTTTGCCACTAAGATTAATTTATTCCATCCGTAGTCACTCAAATTAATTACACAGTCCAAGTTTGGTCACTGGCCGTTAGTCTCCGTTAACTTTTGCTGAGGTGGCAATCAACTCTCATAATTGACTGTTAAATAGGTGACGTGGCAATTAAAAAATAAATAATTAAATTAACTAAAAATTCCACCTCATTATAAAGCTTCCATAAGTCCACTTCCGTCGACTTCCAAGCTAAGGTAAAGTTTCTCATAAACTTTCTCACTGATCTTCGCTTTCCCTTCTTCCTCCCTCTCCCCCTTGCTAGCTTTGCCTGCAACAATGGGTTCCAAGCCGTGGTTATATCGGCTCCTGCCTATCGTTCACTAGAAACCTACTAGGACACCTTGATCGTCGTCGCAGCTACCAAGACTCATGGTCCTCGCCTCATCTTCTTCGGTGGGGCTACTACCATCGAAGGCGACGCCTCTTCCTCGCCTGGCATCAGTTACCCGGGATTTCCTCCACTCCTCTCCACTACTTTTGTCTTCTTGCTGCTTCATGAACTTTGCTTCACTTTGCAGGATTGGCTGGAGTAACCAATTCAATTCATGCTTCGATGTTCTCACGAGAAAATGATTAGGTATGCCTTCTTATCTTTTTAGTTCTTGATTTCTTTGAATTAGATCCAATTCTCACCTATTTGTTTGATAACTAACAAATCCGACTACGACCAGCTGGAGATCCGCCTTCCCCAGAGCCGCCCACACTGTTGCTCTGTTCCCGACCCTGAATTCCGGCGGGCTGATTCTGCGTCGACGCTTGCCATGACTTGGTTGCTTTTTTGAGAATCGAAGTTGCCGCCTCTTTTACAGTTTGGGTAATCGATGAGCTATTGTAGAGGCACCGGTGGCAGGGTAGTGAGTGCTAGCTGTAGCTGCTAGGGATTATGAATTCAATGTGCTTCTAGTTAGGATCGCCGAAGAGCGGTAATCACCGGCGAAGGCACATCACGATAGACAATGATGGGATTGGGGAAGAAATTTTTCATTTTCATTTTGATTCAAAATTATAATTTTATGTTTTATTTATTTTTTAATTATTATGATAATGAGGTGGAATTTTTAATAAATTAAATTAAAATTTTTATTTATTTTTTAATTGCCACGTCACCTATTTAACAGTCAATTATGAGAGTTGACTGCCACCTCAGCAAAAGTTAACGGAGACTAACGGCCAGTGACCAAACTTGGACTGTGTAACTAATTTGAGTGACTATGGATGGAATAAATTAATCTCAGTGGCAACGTGAAATTTTATAGTAATTCTAGTGACCAAACTTGCAATTTACCCCTTTCTTTTATCTAAGTGTTTGTGATTCCCTACTCCTTGCATTTCTTAATGGAGCAAAGTTTCTTGCGTTTTGGTAACTGGTGACTGGTGAGACACCATTTATTCACGTAGACGTAGTGGTTATTTGTGTGTAATTTTATCAACTATTCATGTAGATTTCTTTATATTTATTGTTAAATGTGTTTTTTTAATTTATTTATTTTTAGTATGGGGAACTTTTCCTCGATTTTGGTGAAGTTTTTGTTAAGTATGAGGAAAATTAAGTATGATAAGTGTTTGTAATTTTTTTTTTTGTTTTAGGTAGCTGTGTTTGTAAAAATTAAAATAGGTAGTTGATGAAATGTTGACTAGTGTCTTTAATAATAAATTGATGAGTGAATTTTCAGAAATAACTATTATGAGTAACTTTAAGAATAGAGTTTTTAAGAGATAAAACTGTAAAATGAAATTCTTTTAGGGTTTTGGATTTAAATATTCATTTTTGGTTTTTAAAATGAATTATATTTTTATTGGAATTTAGAAAAAAATATGAAAAATATATTATTTGATTAAAACTTAGCTTTTTTCACGCAAGCAAATTATCTTATTTACTAACCAATTAATTTTTTCATAAATTCTAATAAATTCAATTGACTAGTCAACTATTTGCTATGTCATCACTGTTGAAATCAAAGAAAATTACCTCACATTCTAACGAACGTAAGATAGTTAGACAACAGACTTTTTTTCCTTCTTATTTTGTTCCACGCGTGAATTCCAATACACACACTCGGCCGCCATGGCTTCGTCTAAGGTTGATATCAATGTGATTTTTCAATTTTTATATACTAAACTGATTTCGGGGTTAGGTTTAAAGAATTAGACATGCAATATAAAATGTTAAAGTAGAGTATTATATCCTAAATACCGATCAGTTCATTGTTTAATGGGTGAAAAAAATGGTTGCATGATATTCTGAATTCTCTCTCAAAATAATAATCGATGAACATGATTCATCAAAACATATCAAAATTCATCTAATAAATATAAGCACAATTGTATAACATACACCAGACATATGCTAGCTTTTGTCATATATACTATAAATTCATCTCATTATTATTATGAGTATGTTTTTTATATAATATATTATGGATTAGTTTTAATTCTATTTTATATTGTTGTATTAGTAAAATCATAAAGATTCATTATAATTAAATGATTAAGCTTAGTTGTAATATCAACCGGATAAACCATCTCTCTCTATATATAGGACAGACCTAACTCATCTACTTCGAAATTCCAATTCACTCCACATCCGTTCTTCGCCAAATATGGAAACACCATCAGCGGCGGTCACCTCCGCCGGCGGCGTCCACCGAAACAAACCCCACTTCGTCCTACTCTCCAGCCCCGGCACCGGCCATCTCATCCCCATCCTCGAGCTCGGCAAGCGCCTCGTCACCCACCACGACGCCGCCGTCACAATCTTTGTGGTCTCCTCCCACTCCTCCCAGGCGGAAACCGAACTGACAACCGATGCGGCGGGGCCGGGCGGTGGAGAACTTTTCAACGTGGTGAAAATCCCGCCGCCTGATGACCTCTCCGCCGCGATCGACCCAGCGGCGACGATGGTCACGCGCCTCTTCCTCGTCATGAGGGAAGTCAGGCCCACGATCCGGTCGGGCCTGCTCTCCCTCCCGGTCAGACCGGCCGGTCTGATCGTAGACCTGTTCGGGACCGAGTCATTTGAGATCGCTGCGGAGCTGGGAATGGCGAAATACCTGTTGAGTACTTCGAACGCGTGGTTCACAGCCCTCGCAATCCACTCGCCGGTGTTGGATGGAGAAGTCGAAGGTGAGTACGTCGATCAGAAGGAGCCGCTCGAAATCCCCGGGTGTCGTTCGATTCGGCCGGACGAAGTGGTCGACCCGATGCTGGACCGGAAGAACCGGCAGTACTTGGAGTACATACGGACGGGGCTCGAGTTCCGAAAGGCGGACGGTTAGAAATATTTTTGTTTTTACGTCCAAAACCTATTTAATTCATTTCATTACGTCCAAAACCTATAAAATTAGTAGGGCGGAGAAACGGTGGGGTCTGATTCAGACCGGAGCGTATATACAATTTACGGTTCAGATCAAGAGATTAGAGTATAGACTATAGACTAGACCATATACTATACGGTCTAAGACCTAATCACGCTTGTGCGGTCTGGTCCAGTACGGTCTGGTTTAGATAGACCACATTGAACGATAAAATAAAGAATTTAATTAGTCAATCACACAAAAAATTGAACAAATAGTCAAGAAAAAATTGTTTTTTCCTTAAAACATAAATTCCAACATGCATGAATAGTTTTGACACCATAAATCTCAGTAAATAACAACGGTACAAAGTCAAAGTATCTCAACTTGCAGTATAACGTCATAAACATTAACATAATTTCATATGGATACACGATCGTCTTTACTCTCTGGTGAAATGTGGTTGTGAATGAAGGAGAAGACAAGTTTCTCAAAATTAAGATTGAGATTTGGGTTTCGTTGTGGGAGTTGGCAGAGTGGTTGAGTGGGGTGCTTACAAGTATAAAGAAGTCTGTTGCGTCCACGGTTTGGTCCCAATAAGTCGCGGTCTAGACCAAACCGATCAACAGATCAAAACATCATATAATACAGACCATGGACCGGACCAAACCAGACTATACTTAACGGTCTACAGTCCGGTCCAAATTGTGCGGTCCGATTTGGACCATTATTTTTCAAACGGTCTCCTCTATTTTCTCAGCCCTAATAATTAGGTGTATTTATGATTTATAAGCTATTTTGGACATGTATGATAAGTGAAGCATCAGACAAAATTAAACGATTCAGACGGGAATAAGAGTTGTAGACGCATAAGATTACTACTAAATAAATACTAGAGGAGTGTAAGATAAGATGGAACTTTACTGGCTATAATTAGTGATTAGTGGGAAATTTGTTATTTGAAAGGATTAGCTTACCTGACCCATAATCAATTCTTTTTCTGTTGAAATTTATTGCCGTTATAAAAGTTGGAAATTGGTTGACAAGCAAGGTTGTCAAACCTGTTTATACTGTTGTGTCGGTTTGACAAGTGGAATGATACAATTGGTGGTATAATCAGTGTGTGTTGGTTCATGCTAGTTTAACAAAATATGTAAAAATGTGAAAATCATTAACATCTAATGAATTCAATCATATATAAAACATATTTGAGAATAATTTACTTAATCCAACAAATAACATCAAATTTTAAATTTTTAATTCATAAAATGAGTAATAAATTAATTTATTTATCAAGTAAGTTCACCAAAACCACATCATTTTACTTAGAATTTGTAAACCGATCATACCGGTCATACTGGTGGTGTTCATATAGGTTTCATAATTGACAACGGTTGAACCAGGTTCAACCTGCCCGCATGCCACTGGCATGATAACCATGTTGACAAGTCATTTTGTAGATAAAATTACGATAAATTGTTGATCCGAATCTAGTCAACAAACATCGAGAATCAATCAGAAACTTTTTTCATTAAAATTATTTGTATCCATCTCTTTAATTTTAATTCGCCATTTTATCAAGGAAAATAAGATTAGTTATGCTCTTAACATTTATTTTTTTATATATTTTGAAACAAAAAAATCTTTATGCATAATTTATCATTGTATACGATGTAGGTAAAACTTGTTAGTATATAAGATTATATTATGATGGTATAAAAGTGCAATATGATGATTGATAGGAATATACTACAATGTAAAATGGTTATGTACATAATAATATGAATATATTAACCACCATCTATCACTGTCTACCACCTTATACAAAGGGTGGTTATTTAGTTACAAGTTTTTTCATAAATATGTAGAATTCTATAGATCACGGTACACTTGTTGCTTTTGTTCAAAATTTGAGTTAGAAATGAAGGTGGTAATAGCTAGGTGATACAAATTTTTTTAAAATTATATAAAAAAAAATTAATATAATATTTCATATCACAATGTAACTATTTCATTTGTGTTTTTTCTTTATTATTGTTAAAAAATATATACAAGTTGATTATATATTCCTTGTCTGTTTTTAATTCTTTTCGGTTTCCGGGCAGGCATTTTGATAAACACGTGGGAGGATCTGGAGCCCACCACCCTCTCCGCACTCAGAAATGACGAGTTCTTCGGCCGCAGGGTCATCGAGGGAGACGTTCTGGGCATTGGTCCCTTGGTTCGACCAGTCGAACCCAACCACTCAACTCAAACCATCAACGAGCCGCTGTTCTCTTGGCTGGACAAGCAACCCAACGCGTCCGTGGTCTACGTCTGTTTCGGTAGCGGCGGGACCCTCTCCATCGAACAACAAACCGAGCTAGCTTGGGGACTGGAACTTAGCAAGCAACGATTCATCTGGGTGGTGCGTCAGCCCACCGCGGAGTCGAGATACTCGGCCTTCTTCACCTCCGGAAACTCCGGCACCGATGACGGCGGTGCAACGGCAGAACTAGGATTAGGCTCTATCACAGGACACAGGTAAATTAATTTATTACGTGAAATCCAATTGAAATAATTAATATTTTGAAAAAACGAATACATCTAATTTCAACTTCTGGCTCCGCAGCTACGGCCTCCCAGATGGATTCCTGGAGCGGACGCGACACGTGGGGTTTGTGGTCCCGGACTGGGCCCCGCAGGCGGAAATTCTTGGCCACGTGGCGGTGGGAGGGTTCCTGTGCCACGGCGGGTGGAACTCGGCGCTGGAGAGCGTACGGAGCGGGGTGCCGATGATGGTGTGGCCCTTGTACGCGGAGCAGAGGCTGAACGCAACGCTGCTGGCGGAGGAGCTTCGACTGGCGGCGAGGACCGAAACGGCGCCGTGGAGAGGAGTGGTGGGGAGGGAAGAGGTGGAGGGGATGGTTCGGGAGGTGATGACGGGAGAGAAAGGGGAAGGGATCAGGGAGAGAGTGAAGGTGGCTCAGAGGAGCGGCGAGATGGCGGTGGAACGGGGCTCTGGCTCGTCTTACACAGCTTTGGACATGGTGGTTAGTAAATTCCGTCGCGGTACTGCGTAATGACATTCGCATATAGATTCTATCATGTACCCTGTTTCGATGTAATGAATGTTTACTCGGAAACTAGGCTACAGAAGCGGCATGCTTGAGTTTGGTTTTGTAATTTTGTTTGTGAACCCATGTTAGTAACTTGTTGTGATGGTGAAGAGCAATTTAGAGTTTTCGAATAAACCTAAATAATAGTATGATATAATTTGATATTGAAGTTGGAGTGTCATTGGTCAGGATTCCCCCAATTAAAGTACACTAGTACTTAGAAAAGTTCTCAATCTACACTAGCTTTATAAGAAATTATTACACAATAGTATTATTGTTTGATCGTTGCACGCTCACACTATGCAGAAGTTATCATCCGTGAGCTCATTTTTTGGTGTGGTGAAGGTTCCTTTGGAGGCCTCGTCCTCCGAGATTGTCGTCTTTTTCTTGAGTCTTTTTCTTATTGTATAGATTATAGTGCGATTTCGCGGACTGCCAACTGGACTGCTCATAGAGTAGCACATATAGCCCTGTTGCTGTCTTGGTAAGAGTAGCTTATTTTAATTTTGTAGGGTGTCTTGTTAGTGGGACGGAGAGAAATTACGGGTTACGGATAATATAGTGATTCTATCTAATTATTATCTTCACATCACTCGGCGAAAAAATAACAAATGCTGAGGGATCCTAGAGTCCAAACCAACAATATCGCCCTGTGGGCCTGTCTCATGGGCTAAAACATGAGCAATAACATTTGAGGTCATGACGCAAAGCCCACTGCAAGCAGTTGTTCACTTCTCAATAGCATTCCAACAAACATAGTGCTCCAAAAAAAAAAAAAAACAAAAACAAAAACAGAGAATATCATAATTACGGGTCCCCCGAACAAATTTTGTGGATGGCGATTATTTTTTTAGTAATATTCCTCTCATAATTCTACACAATCCAAATATGAATAAGTCGTGATCAGAGTCTCTAGAACAAACTTTGTAGAAAGAAAATCCAACATGCATGATGTAAAGGTTGAATTCTTTTTATGATAGAAAATCAGCATGTAGAAGAAGAAGAACAACACAATGGGATCCTCATCATCACTCTCCAATCAGAAGACAACACACACATATGCAATACTGATCAACTTATATCTATATATAAAGTCCCCCAACAATGTCCCACAAATCAAACCCCAAACCAAAGAAATCAACGATGAGTGTTCTGAAATTTCTAGCTCTGCTGCTGATGGGAGCGTTCCTGCTGTTTTCCATGAGCGGTACGGCCTCCGTTTCTGCACAGAAGCCACCGGCGACGGGTGGCCGGCCGGTTTATAAGCCGCCTGCAGGAGGAGGAGGACGACGTCCAGTTAAACCACCAAGCGGAGGAGGGAGGAGGACCTCTGTTAGCCCCAGTGCCAGAAGGTTAGCGCCCATTAAAAATCTCTAATTACGTCGTACGTATGTGGCCGACGGCCGGCGGCCTTGTGGTCATCCTACTGGTTATAGCAATAAACATGCGTGGTGGTATCCTACTTTATATATGGCAAGTGTAAGACTAATCGACGCTTCATCGATCCGGGCATCCGACCTCTTTATGTATCGTATTAGATGTGCAATATGGACGTCGTGGTTTTATCTCCTTACTTTTTTCATGAAACTGTTCGGATTTAGTTGCAAAGAGGAATTTTACGGTGCTATATAATATTGGTGTTGTAGTTTTTTTCCTTTATGGTACAATATGAAATTGTACTTTTAACGTTATGGTACAACTTCAGATTGTACCTATACATTTTGTACAAATTCTTTTATGGTACAACTTGAACTTGTACTTTTATTCGATGATACAACTTCAAGTTGTAAAGTTGTACCATAACATAATGATACAAATTTCTTCATAGTACAATCTAAACTTATACATTTAATGTTATGGTACAACTTTAAGTTGTACATTAAGCACCGATACTATATAGCATAGTAGAAGTGCTCTAGTTGCAATGTTAACAACTAGTTGGTCCCAATGATTCATATGTATTTAAGTTTGTACAAATTCAAATATCATATGCATAACAATTGTGGTTATCGTAATTTGAATATAAGACCTATCGGTTAATCACTGATCTCATTTACTAATTAACACCAAAATTCTAATCCTAACGATATCTTACTTGTTCAATTCCATTTTCGTTTCCTATTTTCGATTTTCATGTCATAAATTTGACAACCGAAACGAGAAAACTTGTTTACTTTTCATTATGTTTTCTATTCGTTTCCAACTATGAAAACAGAAAGGAACAACTTTCTGCTGTTTTCGGAAACGACGAAATGTTGTTTTCACCTGTTTTCAACATTTGTTTTCTCAAAGACAGAAAACAGAAATGAAAGTAAACACATTTGCTTCCCATTCCTGTACCGGATAAGGTGTTGTGATCTGCTTAAATTCCTGATCATTGCAAACCATTGACAGTATAGAGAAGACATAGTGAAAATTTCCGCAAACCTTTATCATTGCAAAGAAAATTACATCAAAATGTTAAATGATGAGGTTTTGACATTTCCACTCTCTGGAGCAAAACACTTTTTTTTTTTGTTGAAGTTAGAATTACAAATCCAACCTCGACATCGCCATCAATTACATCATATCGGTACAAACTTGTTGATGGCACAATAGAGCCGGCTTATGCAACTCACTGATCAGTAGGCATTGTGATTCAAGGACAACCTACACGAGTTGATGTAAGATGTTTAATTATGTACTAGATGGAGATGCCGCGCCTTGTCGCGGGACGGAGATGACCTATAGGCATGTATTATGTGGCTAGTTATGGTGTTTTGTTAGTATTATTAGTCTAAAATTAATTTTTTGTTAGCAGTTTTGTTAGTAATATTGATTTGACAATATAATATCGATTTAGAAGAGATATACGGTGGTCAACATTCAATTTAATTTTTTTTAAAAAATTTTGGCTAGTAAATGATATTTACCTAAACACAAGTACTAGACCCATTGATTATGGGTAGGGTATGGATGACATATATATGGGTTTGAAAGTTTGTATTTCTTTTGCTTCTCTCTAGAATTTTCTTTTTCACCCGGGCTAGAATTTTTGACAAATATACATGGAATGTTTAGCTAGATATTGTTGGGATGAATAGCTTTGAAAAGCTATAAATGAAATTCCTAATTAATTATCCAGTATTTTTCCATAATACTTAAATAAGATGGATAATTAATAAAAGGAATATTATGGAGATAATTAGGAATAATTATCTTAATAGATTATATTTTAATTATGAGAGTAATTATCTCCCTAATTAAAATATGACTTATTCCCAAAGAAAGAGGGAATATTCTGGGTTTTCTGCTCCTATAAATAGGAGACGCCCCAGACCCTCTAAACACACCTCAGAAGAGCAGAAACACGAGAGAGAGTGAATTCATAGAGCTCCGGTTTTTCGCACAAAACCGATGAGCAACAAATCAGAATGGTTGTTTTATCCTGGAGGCGACCGGCTGATAGTCTGCTGTGCGCAATACGAGGCAGTGCCGCGAACGTCTTAAAGAGAGCGACCTAGTCCGCGACTCAGCCAGATCGGTAACCCGAATTTTTCTGTTCGGTTTCTAACAATTTTAAGACGTTTGATTGCTGTCGTGTGTACCGAACAGATTGATTGTCGGATCTGGTTTCGATCGTAGCAAAGTGGTAGCGATGTGCTTGCCCCACAATTCGATGCTTTCAGGATCGCTCCATTGGTTGGCTCATCCAATTGCCTTTTGTAGACTCTGATTAATTATGCCGAGGGGGTATTAACTTCCTCGACAACGTTATTATTGTTGTGCTTGTTGTTATTATTGTAATAATCGGGAGGCGGAAAGCCGCCAAAGGCTCATCTCCGTACAGCCGGTCGAGAGCCACTGGGAAGAAGAACAGGGCATGGACCCTGTAATTTGCAGCACGTGCATGATGGGAATCAGTAGATTTGCTGGGTCAATATATCCCTCTTTCAACTTTTATGATTTTTGATTAATTCTTTTGTTGCCCTTGGCCTTGCAACAGAGAAGGGAAAAGAATGCAGCCATTTATATGTGAATTTTTACGGGCGCATATATGTCACTAATGATTTGCTATATATGTCTTGGATTTTTGTCTGCTAGCAAAATTACACCACTGGTCCTGCACTCGGGAAGAGGTTTTGTTTTGTTTTCATTCATTTGCAGGAGCAGCCGAACCTATTTTGTTTGAATCGACTAATTGCTGTTCATTGGTGGGTTCGGCGGAAAAAGAATAAAAAGATACGCACAAACTGGTAAAACAAGAGGAAGGAAGCGGTGGCATAATCGTCTTGCCTCTGACGATATTGTGCCCTTCAGTTCCGTCCTGGGCCAATGGAGAGAGTGCCCCGGTCCAATTAATTGCTCCGGCCAACTAGCCACCAGCAAAAGCAAAGTGGATTGCTTCCCTTTATGGTATTTGTGCAGGCCCAAGTGGGTTCCAGGCCGCGGGAGTGGGAAGATGCTCTCGGTCTCGGACAAGGGATTATCGATCGGAAGCTAAGCCACGCAAGCTAGCTATTATAGAAAGGCAATGACTTCAGAAAAGAGGTAAGATTTTAATCTTACTTACGAGTCATTAATAAATGACAAATTATAATATATTTCTATGAACCTTTTATGCATGAAATTGAGAAAGGTTATGAATGCTAGAATGAAAGCTTGAATTGATGCATGATAAGTTGACATTGAGATATATTACGTATCTCGATGATTAGAGCATAAATTGAATACATGCTATGGAAAGAATATATGATTTTGTCTAAATGTGTGCATTGAAGAATATATGGGAATAAAATGGGTTTATTGCCCATAATGACGATATTGTAAGAAGTACTATTATTAGTACTACACGAACCACTTAGGCTGCTCTGAAACATTATAGTTTCAAGAATGAGAGCAGCAAGCCGAACCAGATCCATACCAAATAGAATGGTACTCTTTGTGGTAACCATAAGATTGTCACCCAATCCTCTAAGAATGAC